TCACAGGTAATTGGGGAAGGCGGTGGGGGCGAAAGGGAGAAACTAGGTGAAACATGGTGCTTTCTCGTTGATTAATGTTCACCCGACTGCTAACGGAACTCATCTGTTTCACTCTGCCTTGGGCCTCTACAGAAGTCCTGACAGCCGTAGCAACTATTAGTATACGCAGATAATATCGCCGGCAAAGATAAGGGAAACTAGAATGGCCATTTCAGGCCCATTAGCCGTCGTCAGCCAATTATTCGCAGGCCCGAGTGGCTTCCCACTCGAGCCTCGAACTCGCGACCATTTCTGATCAGAGTCAGACGGCCTAACCATTGAGCCACGAGCTCGTTGTCTGGCCGGTTTAGGTTGGGGGGGGGGATACTGACGGTGCTTTCTACCAACGTCTGCAGCATGATGCGCAAGTCCCTTAGGCGCATGCACGAATCAGTCCCCAGTAACCTTAGCCCTTTTTAATTATGGGTTTCAGTGCCGATCTTCGGAGGTACCTTAAAGACCAACTAACCGAAAATTTCAGTTTGGTTGGAAATGCGACAGACCATGGAGGGGGGAGTGGCCTTCCCTAATATCGTAAATATCTTGAGAGTCTGGAAGCAATGTGGTTTGGGTGGAACAGCCCAAACATCTTGCAAGTACAGAACTCCAACCGTAAGCGTCAGTGAAGCCGCCGTTGCAACCGGTGCATTATTGGGCCATATCAGAGCCAACAGTCGGTCAAGATTGATGTACCTTTAATGAAAACAATGGTTTAGCCATTTTCGTCAAAACTTGTGCATGCAAAAACGAAGATCGGTTGAGAAGTCGAACAAATCAATGGCATTTTGAAAGTAGCTAATCATACAACATTCATTCATTCCTCCCTCTGTCGAAATTTTGCATAAATGTCAGGCGCAGACCTGATGCCGTTTTTTGTTTTACTTGAGTTGGACGGGAAAAGAGCAGAGATATTAGAGGAAACAGATGATCTGATGAGTGCGCATACGTTGGAAACTAGGAAGAATGGATTCGGGGCTGCATGCGCCCAACAACACTACAACATACAATATGAAGTTTGATGAGATTAAAGCTAATAGGGGGGTTCCTGCAAACTGACGGAGTAGGGAGCGATGATTTGGCACCGGGGATTCCTTCTTATTTTAAGAATTCTGGACAGGGTGACAGCCTGAAACAACGGCGTGTGGGGTGATTTAACCCACAATTGAATTTGGTATCCGAGCCCACAGAAACAGTATTTCATGCATTCTATAGTCCTCCTTGCGTCCAGTTTAGTAGCTCTGATTATGGTTTATAATCTAGGTACAGACCATAAAGTCTTGTGGGACTAAAATGTGTAGAGTTTGCCCCGATTGTTAGTTTTATATATGCAATTTAACATGTATATATGACTAATAGAAGCGGAGATGCGCGTCTGTGGACATAAATGAGAAGATAAGGCAATCTCGGGAACCATCTCTGCATTGTCCTGACGTTTCAAAAGCGTACAGGCTTCTATCATCGGAGGTGAGATTTATACTGCGCCTCACAGTATTAATAGGTGTTGACAATTATAGGCAATAAGGGTTAAACCAATGTAGAGGAATGAGAGCCGGGATTGGGAGGGATGCTCAATCACTGTGCCCTTTAAAACGGATTAAACTCAGTCAAGGTGTCTCCTGTCGGCATTCGGTATTTGCACGTGTGCAGCTGTCATCAACTTGCATCCGGTTTCACACTTGTAGGAAGAGCGGATAAACTGACTGAGCTGATGGTTGCTGTTTCCAGTTGTGGTGCGGCTAAGTGTTTGTCCACTATCAGTTCGCAAGCGCTCGGATTCACGTTCCGTCTATGTTTTCGTTTGCACCTGTAAATACTGTGAAGTGCGGTACAAATCTGACCCCTGAGGATAGAAGCCTGTATGCTTTTGAAACGTCAGGACAATAAAACGATGTATCCCCAGATCACCTTATCTTCTCATATTGCCGTCTTGAATTTGAGAAGAGGGTCGCTGGTAATCTACCGACTAGCCCGCGTTGACAACGGAGCAAAATGCGGCGTTTACATGGGAAAATATGGAGGCATATTGGTCGTCCTTCTTTTATAAACCATAATTTACGGATAAACTCTCGTTGCTGACAGAAGATCCTATTTCCTGTATTGAAACGAGGTTCATAGAATCCCTCTCACAAGCACAAAACTTGACTTTCATGGTATTTGCCCCTCTATGGTCTTCCTTTGAACGGCCAGCAAAGACTTGAATCGCCCTACAGAGAGTTGAAAATCAGTCTCCAAAACGAGGCATGTATGTGTGTTGAAGTTATTTTTACAGTGTTTTGATAGTCATCAAATAGGAAATAGAGGGGAAATCTTGTAAATAATAGAAAATCATATAGGAAATAGAAGTCCATATCGTCCAAAATGATGTTGGTTAGAGTTTGGTGGTATAGAAAGGTAGGTAACATATTGTCGAGGCCCATTCAAGTTTGTGATTGGCCGCCTCAAGGCCGCTGCAGCCTGTTTACTTCGGTCAACCTGTCTTGGACAGTATGCCGGTGGCATTGAAGTCGTTTGGGAGGCAACAATGTATTGCGTTGGGGTGGGCGCCGGGGAGAGGGGGATGAGATCACATTCGGAACTATGATCAGGCGAAAGTCGATCAGATCAAAGGCAGGTCTCCACTTTCTTCAGAACCAGGCACTTGCGACACTCCACTCGGCAGCACCAGACAAACTTGCAATCGCAGTTCTCCAGACTGTAGTAGTGTTGCGTACGGTAGCCGCGACCACAACACAGTGAGCGACAGTTCTGTGGTCCGCTGATACTGGAGTTGCACTCCCGATCAAGCGTTCCGGTCAGATGGAGATGTGGATTGGCGTTGCAGAAGAGGTCCTCGGGCGGACGCTCGAAGTAGACTAACTCCTGCGTGGAGGGGCGGAGGTCT